TTTTTGCAGTATTGCCAGGGGTTGTATTCAAACTTGCTCAGACGAAAAATATTCAATAAAAACCCAGTTTACATAATACGTAGCTTTGAAGATAGGGAATGGAAGCTTGAGTGATAAGCACTCAAATGTATAAATTATTTCCAAGAATTACTCATGACGGATGAACCGTCAATGAGAAATCAAGGTGGTCACTTAACATTTAGTTTTCAAAGTTTGTTTTTCCCTTCTACAAAGCATTCGATCAGTTAGAAATCATTAGAGAATTACTATGGTTGATTATAGATGAGAATCAACCCTCAGATCATGTCGAAACTTAGCTGGATGTAAAACACATCATGTAAAAATTGGTGAAAAACACGTAAAACTAATGAAAATGAGCAACAAGATTGAAATAAGTAATCTCCACTAGAATAGCTTCAAAACAATATATTCAAATACAAGAACAAACCATACAAATAAAGTTTTGAAAATGAAATGGAAATCCCTTTGGTTGTCTTCTCCATAACCCAACAGAACTCTTACAATGTTAAACTTAAGGAAACTCAAAACTAAAACTCAAAAGCTAAGGGGCTATTTGGTTTGTATCTACAAAATAGTTTTTTGTTCTCAAAATTCTAAAAGCAAGAAAAATGTTATTTGGTTAACTTTTTTATTCTCCAATGTTTTGAAAATTTTGGAAATTGAGATGTGATTTTAGAGAATAAAAAAAATGTTGTTCTCGATGTTTTTTTAAGCAAAATGAAAACGCAAAAAAAATAGGAGCATCTCCAAATTAATGAGGTCTCCATTTCGAACCTTCAATTTTTCTCCTCATTGGCTAAGGTGTGTAGCATGAGTGGTGGAAGCTTTCCCGAAGAAGTTTCCTCCACCAGTGTTGACCAATAGGAGTGCTCATGGGTTGTTGGGAGGTGAACTCATCCGATCAAAAGCCTTGCCTAGGAAGTAGGAGCCACCCCTCAAGTTGTGCAAGTGGATAAAAGTTGCTTCATAACCCAATGAATGAAGACCCGGGACTTCGTGAACCCGACTTAGTGTGTGAAGAACTTGTTCCAAACATGAAGAACTGGTTCCAAGATTTTTGGTGGTTGTAGTACTGGTACCAACACTGTAGAACTAGTTCCAAGCTCTCTAGACCTTGTAGAACTAGTTCTAGTAGTCCATTTCTTGATTTTCTTTTTGTCTTTTCTAGATTCCAATCCTCTTCTTTCCAATGCTTTTCACGTCCTTCTTGCTTGATTGCAACATGCTCCTCTTCATCTTCTTTGCACCTACAAACATAAATATAAACAATTAATCAAATCTTATCATTATTCAAACACTTAAACACTGAACAATAACATAAAATGGATGAATTACGTATCAAATATGCAATGTTACAACTCAACATCATTACAGGTGGCATCAGAGCTGACTCTCCTATAGCTGGTGGGGAGGTGAACCCCACGTGGGCCTCACGAGGACATGTAGCCTCTAAGGGGGTGCAGTGTAGTATCCTGCCAACAGGCCCTGCAATGTGAGAAGATGCTACAACTTCTTGTGTTACATCGCACATCGACTCAGAAAGGGCAGTGATTGGGTTATTTATGTGGTGTGCTCACCCTTAATTGTTAATAGGCCTTTTTTGGAGCGAAGCCTATTGGGCAAAAATTTGAATATTTTGCCAAACATGACTTCACTCATATAACGAGGAATTATACGAGTTTTATTAAATGTAGGTTAGACCCATTCCAGATAGCATATATTTGTTAATTAGAATCTCTTGCTTCAAGAGAACACCCTTTGATTCCAACGAGAAATTATCACACGTTTCCATTTATACCACAAGGGTATTTTACTTGTAACGATGGCTAGACTTAGGTTAATTGCCTAGGTTGTTCTATGTACCCGTTATCAGGATCATGTCGATTCCTATTTCAGGGAGATTAGATTATTATTATTATTTTTTTTTTGGGTAAGATCAACAGTTAAATGACTCATTGATTTTGAATGGATAAATATCCATCATGTTTGAAATGCGTAAATGACCCTTAGATTTAATATTGGTGTAAGACTCATTTGGTTTACAAGAAATTTTTTGGGATTTGTGATTGCGCATAGTTTAACTAGATTGCCTACTTATCCGAAAAAGAATTAAATTAGATGTAGTTCATGAAAATAATTTAGAATTTATTTGAAGTTGATTTGGACTTGCGACTGTGCCTAGTTTAACTAGACAACCTACGTATCTGAAAAGGAATCAAGTCAGACATAATTCTTGAATAATTTGGAATTTGAGTGGGACTTTGAATGAGTGAATGACTCATTTAATTTAAAATTTAGCTTGATTTGGTTTGAAATGGGTAAAAGACCCATTGTTATTTGGGATGGACTTAAGTCATATTTAAAACAATTTAGACTTATGTGAATTTTAGGATTCACATAGGTTGTGGCTTAACATGGAATTAGAATCCATGTAAAAATTAGTGACTTTTGTGAGTTAGAAACTCAAAAAATTATTAAGAGTCCAAGACTCTTTTTCATAAAGATCATTGAGGAGTTTTAAATCCCAAAAATTAGTAAAGAGTTAAACTCTTTAATTTAATTTCTACACTATCAATTTATAGGAATTTGAAACTCCAAAAAAAAAAAATAGTTAGGGATTTAAATGATCAAATTGCCACTTAAATTTTCTTGTCCACCAACAATCTTTTTATGGGCTATTCCAGTAGCTTTTGCCGAGAGAAATCGAAGGCTTTATTGGAGTTAAAACTCTATTCTTTGCCGAAAAGAGTCGAAGAGTCCTTCATGTGTTTCATGGGTGATTTGAGAGACTTGTTTGCAAGTGAGTTGCCAAGTGAGGGAATTTTTCCAACTCTAAAAACCATTTAAAGTTTATACTTTTTTTTAAAAGCACTAAGGAATTTAAAGTTCCATAATTTTATGCTTTGATTTTGGTACATTTTCGTTAGATAGACCCAATAACAGATTCTTAGACAGAGTTTGAAACTCTAGCCAAGTTGAATTGGGTCCAGTCAAGGCTTTTTAGATGCCATTTTTTTTTATGTATAAGAAAGTTTGAATTAGAGTCAAAGACTCTTATTTTGCTAAGAAAACAGTAAGCGACTTTGGAGAGACTTCAAAATACTGTTCATTTAGCAGTTTGATTGATTTGTGAAGAACCCAAGGCTCTTTCGATGCCTCCAAGATCTTAGAATTCTAGAGATTTTTGCACCGTAGCGATCTATAAGAATTGAAAACTCCTTAATCACAGCATGACCTTTGTAAAGGGGAGTTGAAGATTCCATGAAATTTTGTTGAGTAGTCAAAGACTCCATATTTTTTGAGGAGTTAGAAACTCCAGAAACTCTATCATATAGGTTTTAGAAAAACCAAGACCAATAAAAGAGTTTAAACTCTTGAGAGTGACTAAAAAAAAAGGAAGTTTGAAGCTCCATTCGAAAAGAATACTGGTCCTCGGCATAAAGTTTCGAAATTGTAAGAGTCCAAGACTCTTTGTTTGATACGGCCACCGTGTTTGGTTTTCTTTCTTGTGTGTCAATGCTTGTTGCAATAGAAGAGATTAGTGACAAAACAAATGGAATGTGGAAGAATTCGAAACTCCAATAGAGTCAATGACTCTTAACTTGTGACTGCTCGAGGATCTTGCAGGTTGCAAGACGAGTTTAAAACTCTCAAACTTTTGCTCCCCTTGGAGCTTTAAGAGTTGGAAACTCCTTGGCTTGTTTTTTGGGAGAGGTTGGGATTGTGGACAGTGGGTTTGGAATCGTTGTGTTTTGGTATATAGTCAAAGGCTCTATTTTCTTCACCTCTGAGCAAGATGGTGTTGGAAACTCCTTTGACTCAGCACAATCTTTAAAGAGCCAGAGACTCTTTAAATTTATGTGGCTGACTTCGGAATGGACAGGTTGGCTCATGAAAATTATGCCTATTCTATTAATAGAAACTTCTCTATTCTATTACACAAGAAAATGGACTGCGAAGAAGAGGATTTATTTCTTCTTTTTTTTTCTGCCCCTATTCTATATTCCTTGATTCAGCATAAATCTTTGGCAAGAGGAGTTGAAACATTGCCACAAATGGACTGGATGAAGACTGAATTTGCGTAACCTGGCTTCATTTCTTTTGTATGTGTGGGTTTGTTCACACATGTGGACTTGGCTGAAAGAAATCAGAATGCTTTCAAGAAATTTTTCTTGATCCAAAGAGAGAGTGCATATTTTGCCAAGAAGAGTATAGAACAACCTTTTCGTCGTCCGAACTCTAGGGGTAAAAAAATCCCTATAATTGGTAATTTTTTGAAGGGTTGGATGTTGCTGCAATTGCTTCAGATTGCTGTGGTTTTGAACCCATTCGCTGCAATCAAAGATTTAACAAATTAAATCCAAGAGTAGGGAAAGAAATCACAGATTATACCTGTAGCTTAGATTGTTTTGTCTTCCGCAACCACTTTGTTATTCAAACTTCTTTCTCCTTCCTTCTCTCTGTTTTTTTTTCTTGCTTTGTAAGATGTCTAAACTCTCTCCCCTCTGTTTCTCCTCTCCAAGTGTATTTATAAGGAATTTTTGCATGTGAAGGGGGTTAGCTGGCAATCTTTTAAGTACCCCACCAAGTCCACTTTTTCTTACTTGTAAGCAATTGGTGTATTGGGGAGTCTGGGGGCTGCCCAACCGTCAAATACGCCTCGTCAAATCCTTTATTTTTGGCCACCACTAACTTTGCCTTTTCTTGTAGGAAAACTGTCCTTAATTCTCGGTTCTCCATTTTTTTTTCAACATGCAATTTTCAAAATTCATACGGATGAATTTTAATAGGTCGGATTGAAATGTGAAATTTGGAAATTTAGCTTGAAGGGTCACGTTAATGATCAATAATTCAAAAAAATCACGAGTCAAGCATGAACCCGTCATTGATCTTTGAATTTTTTTTTTCATTTAACAAAGCCCTAGAGGAACAACACTGTGAGGGTTTATGGGCACACAAAGTGGATAATATCTTGACAGTTGGAGTTGGTCCTTATAGTTTTCCTGAAGGAAAGTTTAGGGGATGGTTCTTCGGTTCCTATGCCTCCTAATTCTTCTGGTTTTTCCTCTTCATCTGTTCTTAACGAGGATCATTCTTTTTTCTCCAGTGCCCCCTTGGTCCCCACTTGGTTGTTAGGCATCCTTCCCATGGCTGACATCCTTGAGGTAGGGAGGCTTAGCATTTCGAAGAAGACCTCTAGTGCTCTCCATAGTTGGTTGTGGTATGATCTTTCCCTTTTTCTAACAACTTTGTTGCCCTTGTGGATCCCTCTTTATGCATTTTTCTTCTTGTGCAATCTATCATCCATACCATTGCTCTCATTGGCCAAGCTCAATTGTACGAGAAGCGGATAAGTGAGGGCAAAGCCGAACATGAGGCTACCAATGAGAAAAATAGAAGAGTTGTCTTCTATGGTGGATTCACTCAAGTTATTAGAACGATCTTTTAAAGAGAAGTTGAAGCAGAAAGACTTTGAGCTCGACTAAATCGTTGAGGCTATTGATGTGGTTAAGTTAGAAAAGGTTAATACCGAGAAGGAAGTTGCTTATTTGAGGCCAAAGCTAGAAAAGGCCAACAAGAAGTGTTTTGGATTTGAATCTAAGGTGAAGAGCAATGACGACCACATCAAGGTCATGCAAAAGGAGGCTGTCGAGGGCTATGCTGCAGGTTATGAGGATCTGAGGGATTAGGTCAAGGTGAAGTATTCAAATGATCAATTTCTCAACCTCGGCTTTGATTCCTTTGAACCCCCTTTGTTCGAGGGGGAATAAGAGGAAGAAAATGAAGTAACTGCAGCTTCTCATGACATTTTTAGGGAAAACTACAGTTGTGAGACCGGAGCATGCAAGATAGCATTTTAATATTGGGGATATAAATGTTAATTTAAGTTCTGGAAGTTAATTTTAATTCAACAAAATAAAAAGGTAAACTACTAGGATTATGGGAGATATAGTGTATAGATCTCGATAAAAACAATTGGGTTTAATTTAAGAATTTAAGCGTGAGTGGGATACATACAAACATGTATATACATGTATATATAGTAATATATATAAAAGTAACCATTTGCATTTTTTAAATATATATACATACACAAATGGAGTATATACATATCTATATACAAGTTAGTGGGCTCTCCACTAACTTATAATAGATGGTGTGGATCTAGTGTGGGAAAGGGTGGGCAGCTAGGATGGAGAGGAGGGGGTGTAGTGGACTCTTGTTACCCCCTTAGCTCATTGGCGTCATTGGCATGTGATACCCTCGCCCAAAGACGCCCATGTCTTAGCCAAATTGGCAGAAGTCTCATGCATGGATGAGGGAGACAGTCTATGCACATGGGCATGTGGGCATAAGAGTGCATGCAAGCAAGATAGTCAGGTGGTTTGAATTGTGGGGCAACGCTAGCTTGAGGGACTAAGCCATGGGCTGGGCATGGCTAGACACGAATGCAAGACAATCAAATGTTGGGGCTCATGAGAAAGGCACATGCATAACATGTGAGGACGTTGGACATGTGCCCTATAGAAGGTGGCAGTTTAGTGTAGTTGCTGGCAGGTGCACAACATAAGACAATCTTTTTCATGTGCACATAACATACAGGGAAGTTGTAGGCAGTTACTGGCTGGGTCAGCAACCAGTTGTAACTTCCTCTGCCATGATCAACAATGGAGGGAGTGGCTAAAGGTGGTCAGCCATTCTCAGCAGACTTTGTGGGCGAATTTGAATTGTATGTAGTTGCCTAAGAGGTTGGACTTGTAACCGCCAACCAGAATGTTATAAATAGGCAAGTCTGGGTCTGTAGTGCAACCAAGAGAGTTGGACACATTTTTGTAAGCAAACCCATTGGCCTATAAAGTTTGTGTGTTGTGTGCGAGTTTGTTTGCTTGTCCCCACTCTGCTCATCTGTACATTTATGTGAGTGTTTTGAGTGTTTGACTGAGACTAAGAGTAGGATTTTAGTGCCATCACGAGCCAAAAATTTGGTGAAAGATTTGACCCCATCACAATTGGTATTACGGCTTCAATTTTTGACCTTGGCTGGAGAAAATGTCGTTGAACTACGTGAAAGAATGACCCATCTTGAAGATTTTCTAGGCGCCCCTGAAAGTGATGCTGCAACTAGCGTGGTCGTGTAGATGAAGCAACACGCTATTCAAATTGCTGGTTTATAGATGGCTTTTGTTTGCTATGTGTTCAAGATCGATGCAAAGATTACAATGATGATGGAGGATATTATGTCCCTCACTGATGCTATCAAAAACAATCTGAAAGAACTTGAAGATGAAATGTCCCTAGTGAAGAGGGCCTAAATTCTCGAGCTACAGTGGGTGAGACATCTTCAAAAATCAAAGTTCCAGAACCAAAGACCTTTGGAGGCAATCGAAGCGCCAAAGATTTGGAAAATTTCTTGTGGGACATGGAGCAGTACTTTAAAGCTGCCCATGTGCCTGATGGGGAGAAAGTGACAATCACCAATATTTATCTCTTTGGTGACGTCAAGTTGTGGTGGCTGACTCAGAATGAGTGACTCAGAATGAGTACGATGCATCTGCTGGACATCAAGAATGCGTCAGAGGAAGATAAAATCTTTAACTTCATGTCTGGACTACAAGGTTAGGAACAGGACAAGTTGTGGAGGCAAGGGGTACGTGATCTTCCCACTGCCATCGTTGTTGTAGATGACCTTGTTGACTTCAAAATGGGTGGCAGTCAAGGCCCTTTTGAGAAGAAAAATAAGGATGGTGGCGGCAGAAAAAATAAAGCTGACACTTCCAAAGATGCAAAGAATGCGAATTGGAAGAAAAAGAAGAATGTTGCTGACTTTAACAAGATAGACAACTACTAGATGAAGAAAGCCTTTGATTATGGCTGTTTTCTTTACGGTGGCCCCCATTGTGTCAAAAACTGCCCCAAGTGGGAGAAGTTGAGTGCCCTCGTTGCTGTAAGTGGGGATGACAGTGATGATGAATGTCCCACCCGAGTTAACCCTCTATAGTTGTTGAACACAATTATTATGGGCAAAGGTCAACAACCCTGCAAAGGCCTCATGTTTGTGCAGGTCTGGGTGAATGGTAAGGAAATTCTGGCCATGGTGGATACGAGAGCCACCCATAATTTCGTTGCCCAGAGAGATGTGGGTAAATTTGGCCTACAATTGTCTGAAAATGCTAGTAAGCTTGAGTCGATAAATTCTGAAGCAATGCCAGTGCATGGCACGACATAAACTAGGCCAAGTGAACTTGATGGCTGTGCCCTTGGACAGCTTTGATGTTATCCTTCAATCTTTATCAAGGTGAATCACTGATGCCACACTTGAATGAAGTGCTGATCACGAATGAGAAAGCACCCTGTTTTGTGTCTATAGTCATGGCCGACCAAAGCATGAAAAAAGGCAAGTGGAAGATGGAGATGTTGTCCGCTATGAAACTGAAAGCTGGCCTTAGGAAAGGCGAGATGACATACCTCGCAGCTTTGGTGAAAATCAAACCAGATATGCTAGTTGAAGTACCTGATGTAATGACAGATGTATTGAGGGAATTTGCTGATATTATGCCCCCAAAACTCCCTAAAAGCCTTCCGCCTAGACGAACAATTGATCACAAGATCGAGTTGGAGCCTAGTGCTAAGCCTCCAGCCTGTGCCCCTTACCGGATGTCGCGATGGAATTGGTAAAATTAAGGAAACAATTGAATGAATTACTAGATTCTGGCAGTATGAAGCCATCTAAGACGTCATATGGAGCCCCTGTTCTATTCCAGAAGAAGCAAGATGGTTTACTGTGTATGTGTATTGACTATCAAACCTTGAACAAGGTAATAATCAAGAACATGTACCTTGTTCTGAATTTTCCTAATCTGTTCGACGGACTGTCTAAGACAACCTTCTACACGAAGTTGGATCAAAGGACTGGGTATTGGCAAGTAAGAATTGTAGAGGGAGATGAGCTTAAGACTATGTGTGTGACACACTATGGGTCTTTTGAATTTCTTGTAATGCCCTTTGGGCTCACCAATTCCCCGGTTACTTTTTGCAATTTAAAGAATGATGTCATTTATGAGTACATCAATGTTTTTTTGGTTGTGTACTTGGACGATATTGTAATTTATAGTGAGACGTTAGAGGATCACATAGATCATTTGAAGGTAGTGTTCTCACGACTTAGAGAACACTAGTTGTATGTCAAGAAGGAGAAATATGAATTCTGTCACCAACAAGTGATGTTCTTGGGACACTGGATTAGCAAAGACCAGATCCGAATGGATGAGAGGAAGGTAAAGACAATTGTTGATTGACCTACAAGGTGTCTGAACTACAGTCGTTCCTTGGCCTAGCCAACTATTATCGCTAGTTCATTGAGGGATATTCCAAGAAGTGCAATATCATGACTGATTTGTTGAAGAAAGACCAAAAGTGGGACTGTAATGGTGCCTATCAGACAGCTTTTGAGAAGCTGAAGCATGTAGTATCTTCTGCACTTGTGCTGAGACTGGTGTAGTTCGATTTGCCATTTGAAGTGCACACAGATGCGTCTGATCGTGCAGTTGGAGGAGTCCTTGTTTAGGAGGGACACCCTGTTGCCTTTGAAAGCTAGAAACTAAAAGATGCTGACCAACTTTAACCAACACACGAGAAGGAAATGACTACTATGGTGCACTGCATTGAAATCTAGAGGCATTACTTGCTGGGAACAAAGTTTACTGCCATAACAGACAATGTAGCAAACACTTATTTCAAGTCCCAGAAGAAGTTGACCCCAAAGCAGGTCCGACGGTAAGAATTCCTTGCTGAGTTCAATTTTGTGTGGGTGTATTGACTTGGAAGGCGGAATTAAGTTATCGATGCATTGAGTAAGAAGGAGGTCTAGGACTATGTTGCTACACTGTCCAGTGTGCAGACTAACTTCCTTGCAAGAGTCTAAGAGCATGCCCAGACCGATGTTGCTTACGACAAATTGAAGCAGCAAGTTAGCAAGAGTTTGGTGCGCAGATACTGGATTGATGGCAATCCTTTATGCCAAAGGTGGCAGACTCTATGTTCCTACTGGAGGGGAACTAAGATTGGAGTTGCTGCGTGAGACACACGACTCCCAGTAGGCTGAACATCCCAGAATAGAGAGGATGCTTGCATTATTAGCCCAAGATGGAAGATAATGTTGAGGCCGATATCAGAACTTGTCTCGTGTGCCAACTTGACAAGGTTGAGTAGAATAAGGTAGCAGGCTTGCTTCAGCCACTGCCCATTTATGACAGACCGTGGCAGTCAGTCTTGATGGATTTTATATGCAACCTGCCAAAAGTTGATGACATACGTTCGATCATGATGGTGGTTGATCGTTTCTTCAAGTATGCGGTGTTCATTCCTACACCCCATGCTTACCCTACAGATGTTGCTACGAAGTTGTTTTACAAGTACGTGGTGAAGTAATTCGAATTGTCAGAAGATATAATCAATGATCATGACACCAGGATCACTGACAGATTCTAGATTGTGTTATTCAATCTAATGGTTTCTGAGTTGAATTTCTCTATAGCGAGTCATGTCTAGACTGAAGGATAGACTAAGCGGATCAATGCCTTGCTGGAGGACTGCTTGCAGTACTATGTCACTGCAAGTCAAAAAAATTGGGTAGAGCTTGTGAATACTGCCCAATTTTGCTACAACTTGCACATATCTTTAGCAACAGGAA